TCCTCATCCTCCAGCCTCTCGGTCATCTCCTTCACCTTGGCCTCCAGCTGGATCTTGTTCTTGATCAGCTGGTCGCAGCGCTCCTCGGCATCATTGAGGTTGTCTTGTTCCTGGAGGAAGAGGAGGAGAAGAAGTAATGATTAAAGAGAGGAAAGATGCAGGGTCTTTCAGAGAGGGCTGGAGCTTCTGGATTCCTAGACTCTGGAGGTGAGATGGGAAATAATCCAGGAGACAGAGAGAAAGAGGGAAGGGAAAGCCTCACCGCCTGCACTTGGAGCTGCAGGTCGTTCTTCTCCTGCAGCAGGGACACCATCTTCTCCTCCAGTTCCTTCCGCCGAGCCTCAGATTTCTCCAGTGATTCTTTGACTCGCCCAAACTCTTCCTTCATGTTGGCCATCTCCTTCTCCGTCTCCGCGCTCTTCAGCAGTGGCTTGATCTTGAAGTAGAGCTTCATCCATGGCCAATTCTTGACCCCCATGAAGGCCCGGATGTTCCACTGGATTACCAGCAGGGCGTCCCTGACAACAAAGTGTGGAATCAGGAAAAACGGTAGGAGGAAGCCTCCTCAGTCATGCTATCAGTTGCCCTGGCCTCCTCCTCCACCTAAGCAGGTTTGTAGGCAGCAAGGACAAGGGACATTGTAGCCTCATTTGTGTGTGTCCTTCAGACAGGATCTCTACACTGAATGGGGATTCATGACTTAGTGACTTCAACAGAAGGGTGGTGTGCACTCCCCTACTGGGGCAGGAGCAGAGAGCGTCTCCTGTGCTCACCGCTTCATTTTCAGGAGACCTGCAGATAAGCTACAGACTATGTAGCACTTCACATCTCAGTATGCCTGTGACATGCTTGGTATGAAGTATAAAAACAAGATGACTGCTTGTGAACCCACCCCCTGAAGGGATGGAGCCTCCAGACATGGAGCTAGCAGCGTGCTCCACCCTCCACGCTTCCTGGGCCTCTACTAGAAGCAGCCATTGCTGCTGTCCATCTTGGTTTTCATTTTCTTACTTAATTTTTTTTTTTCCTGAGTGTGGTAGTGCACACCTTTTATCCTAGCGCTCAGGAGGCAGAAGCAGGTAGATTGCTGTGGAGGTCAGCCTGGTCTACATAGTGAGTTCCAAGCCAGCCCTGGATACACAGTGAGACATGGTCTCCATTTTTTAAAATTTGTATGTGTGCATGTGTTGTATATAGACACATGTGTGTGAGTGTGCATGCCCATGTGTGCCTAGAGGCCAGAGGGGGACATTAGGTGTCTCTGTCCCTCTCTGTCTTATTCCATGGAGACACTGAACCTGGGATTTGCCGGTTCAGTTAGGCTGGTCTCCAGCCAGTCCTAGTGAGCCTCCTGTCTCTGTACCCCGCATCGCTGGGGTCCCAGGTTTATGCAGCCACACTTGGGTTTTTATGTGGCTGCTGGAGATGGAATGTACGCACCCAGGTTTGCACAGTAAATGCCTCCTGAGTCATTTCTCCCAGCTCCTCATCTCTTTACTTCTTCAGAAAAAATATTTTAACAATGTACAAAAGTAACTTTAAACAATGCATTTCTGAGCAGGGCATGGTGGTGCATGCTTTTAATCCCAGTACTTGAGAGGCAGAGACAAGAGGATCTCTGTGAGTTTGAGGCCAGCCTGGTCTACAAAGAGAGTTCCATGACAGCCAGGGCTGTTACACAGAGAAATCCTGTCTCAAAAAACAAACAAACAAACAAAAAAGCCAAAAAAAAAAAATTTAAAAAATTGAAATGCATTCCTGTTTTTATTATTTCTGAGCTTTATAAAGAAATACTGTGTCATACTGAGTGTGGCTTGTATGACTTGCTTTTGTTCCCTAAGTGACTTATGCTTTTAAAGTTCAAATGTTCGTACCATGTAGTTGTAGTTCAGCCATTTTCATTGTTTTGTAGTATTTCACCAAATGACTGGAATACAGTTTAGATGGAAACTGAGGTTGTTTCCAGGTCTCTGCTCTTAGGATTAAGACCTCTATGAAAACTGGATTTTGTCTCATGGTGTAGATGTGAAGGGCTTTCTCTGTGGGACTGTCTTCAGGAGTGGAATGGAAAAGTATGACTAAAGTATGATGATTCAAAAAAAAATAAAGACATGAAAGCAAGAGGGGGCAAGTTAGGAAGAAGAGGGGGTGTGGGGGAGGGGCAGTGGGTGAGTATGATTACAGTGTACTGTATATATGTATGAATTTGTCAAAAACTTGAAAAAATTAAGGGCACACGATAGTTCATCTCTAAAGAGGAGACCAGGGCTGGCGAAATGGCTCGGCATGCAAAGACCGTGGCTGTCCAGCCTCGCAGCCTGAGTTCAGTCCCTGGATCTGAACAGAGTAGACACGGAGAACTGACTCCTGCAAATTGCCCTCTGACCTCTATCTGCACCATGGCTCATGCACAGACACATATACACACATACCACCTATCCATGGACACACGAAATTAACAAATAAATGTAACATAAACCAGGGCTACACAGAGAGACCCTGTCTTCAAGAAGAAAGAAAGAAAAACAAAAACAAAACAAAAAAACAAAACAAAACAAAACAAAACAAAAAACCCGGAAAGCTGCAAACTTGAAGACCTGAGTTTGAGTCCTTGGACCCAAACAGTAGAAAGAGAGACCCAACTCTGTGGGCTGTCCTCTCACTTTTATGTATGTGACATGGCATCTCCCCAATAAATAAATGAATCTAATTTTAAAAAAAAAACTAAGTATGTTAAAAAGAGAATAAAACGTTTTTCAAAATCCTGTACTAGTTTATACATCTACAGACTTCTTAATTAAGCCAGTGCTTTAAAGTGTCTTTGGAACCTTTAAAACAACGGTTCAAAATGAACCCTATTGCAGCCTGATCACATCACTAGCGAGTGGTGGAGCCAGGGTCTGAACCCAGGTCTTCTATGCCTGACTCTCACCTTTCCCTTCCCTCCGCCTCACCTGCGTTCCACTATCTTCTTGAACTCAATGCGCATGAGCTGGCCTCGGGCCTGAGCCTGGATTCTGGTGATGATGCGGCTCAGCCTCTCATCACGCATCTCCTCCAGCAGCCCCAGCAGCCCCGCCTTGAAGAACACCTGTGGGCAAGTGGGTAGCACCAACGTGGGGCACAGCCTCAGAGGAGGGTGACCAGGGTAGAGGTGGGGGAAAGACTGGCCAGTGAGCTCCCGGGGACCCGTCACCTGTGCATCCGAGGGCTGAGGGTGGGGATGCAAAAGCTGTGTCACTCAGCATGGCCACCTGCTCTGCAACCATTATGTGGAGCTCCCGACTCACCTTGGTGTGGCCGAACTTGTACTGGTTGTGGTCAATGTCCAGGGAGCCCAGCAGCTTCTCGGCCCCTTTCCTGCTGTCAATGAATTGGCCCTCAGGGATGGCTGCTGGATTCAGGATGCGGTACCTTGGGAGGGAAGTTCTCAGAGTCATTTGCATTCTGTGTGGGTCTGCTCTGCCTACAGAATTCCAGGGCCACCATAGACTCCCTACACCCACCAAGTCAGCCCACCCCTGGCTCCCTGAGCCCTGGGGCACCCTTACCCACCTCTGGCGGAAGTCCCCGTAAAGAATTCGGTTGGGGAAGCCCTTCCTGCAGATGCGGATGCCCTCCAGCACCCCATTGCATCTCAGCTGGTGCATGACCAGGGGGTTGTCCATCACCCCTGGGGCAGCAGGGGAGAAGGGAATCAGCCTCCAGGTAAGTGGACGGCAGGCAGCCTCCCTGGACGAAAACCTTCCCGTGGCCCACTCACCTGGAGCCTTCCGCTCATTGGGGATGATGCAGCGCACAAAGTGAGGGTGTGTGGTCCTCAGGTTTGTCATCAGCTTGTTCAGATTTTCCTGGATGTGAGTAGAGTGGGGAGTCGGGGGCCATGAGGACCTTTCCTTGGGCCCCTGAGCACTGGGCTCCAGAGGCCCCATCAACAGAACCACCCGAGGACGCAGAGTGAGTTCAGTCTCAGACAGTGTTCAAATACCAAGGAAATGGTCGTGTAACTGGCTTCTTTCCTTCCCACACACAGAGCATCAGGATAGAGTTACAGCCTAAAGGCCCCCAGCCTACCCGCTGCAGGTGTTCTGGGATCTCTGGGCCCTTCTTACCCGGTGGAGAGCAGACACTGTCTGGAAGGATGAACCTTTCTTCTTGCCTCCTTTGCCTTTACCACTGTCGCCTAGCAACAGGAGAAGGACCAATGAATAAGAACTTAAAAACACTCGCAGGGCGGTGGTGGCGCACGCCTTTAATCCCAGCACTCGGGAGGCAGAGGCAGGCGGATCTCTGCGAGTTCGAGGCCAGCCTGGACTACCAAGTGAGTTACAGGAAAGGCACAAAGATACACAGAGAAACTCTGTCTCGG